GAATGTTGTAAGAGGAACTTCAGTCTTGGTTAATATGGTTTCTTAAAAACAAATAAAATCTTCTCTATCTTGAGTTTTTTCTGTGCAGATGCATAGTAGAATTGTTTGTAGCTATCCTTTAAAAAAAAAAAAAAAAAAACATTGAAAGAAGTTAATACAAGTTGCTCCTTTTAATTAAAATATCCTACTCTTATCCAAATCAAAATTGGCCATACGTGAAAATCTTTAACTGAAACTGTGAATAACATCTCTTTGACTTGCCTTCCTTTCAAACATGGCTGCTGGTATCCATGTTAAATTATTTAGCGTTCTGCTGATGCTGTTTTATTCAAAAACTGATAATGATGTAGAAGAGTGAATAATTTCAAAAATGAAGCATCCTAAGGTGTTGAGATGGTGAACCATGTAATCAAAAAACAACTGTGGCATGGACCAAATACCCTTAATGAATTTTACCAAAAATATATGAAGAACAATGTTATTGTCTTGATGTTTGAGTGTCAAAAAACTATCTGACCTGTTTTTCCTCTATTTTGTCATGTAGGTTGAGATTCTAAGCTGCATGAGACATCCACATTTGGTTCTACTCATTGGTGCCTGTCCTGAGTCTGGATGCTTAATATATGAGTACATGGAAAATGGCAGCTTAGAAGACAGGCTATTTAGGAAAGACAATACTCCCTCAATCCCATGGAAAACCCGATTTAGAATAGCTGCTGAGATTGCAACTGGCCTTAATTTCCTTCATAAAAAAAAACCAGAAGCACTAGTGCACCGTGACCTTAAGCCTGGAAATATTCTCTTAGACCAGAATTATGTGAGTAAGATCAGTGATGTTGGTTTGGCTCGGTTGATTCCACCACCTGTAGGTGATAGTGTCAATCAATATCGCTTGACAGCAGCTGCAGGCACATTTTGTTATGTTGATCCGGAGTATCAGCAAACAGGAATGCTTGGTGTAAAGTCAGATTTGTATTCATTGGGTATGGTGCTATTACAAATTATTACAGCCAAGCATCCAGTAGGGCTGTCCATCCAAGTGGAAGAAGCTATTGAGAAAGGAACTTTCCAGGAGGTGCTTGATCCCACAGTACCAGATTGGCCTGTTGAAGAAGCTTTATCATTAGCAAAACTAGCCTTACAGTGTTGTGAACTGAGGAAAAAGGACAGACCAGATCTTGAATCAGTTGTATTGCCAGAGCTGATCCGCCTAAGGGATCTCGGGTCAGAAAATGAAGCCACCGTCAGTTCACCTCCTTGCAATTCAGTTCCACAAATGGAAACCCGTTTGAATCAGGTTAGTTAACTTATGAAACCACCTAATAAAACCAGCTAGCTGTCATTTGTTTATGTACTTAAATTTGCTATTGCTTCTCTCTAAGCCTGCTATTACTCATAATAAGTGAGAATTTACTTGTTAGGAGTTCTCTATATAATTATTTGATAATGCAATTAAGGATAAGATATGAAAAATGTGTTAGAACTACCTTTTAAGACAAGATGAGAAATGACCGCATGATATTATGTTTTCTTCATTTTATTATCCTTCTCATGACCAATGCCTATGGAAAGCAATGTTAGACAGGCTTCAAGTCCATTATTCATGCAGAAAAAACTCATTCTACCAATATATTGCACTCCTAAATGGGGTTTAACAGTTGTGTTGTTTGCTAACTTTGAAGTTATGAAGTTAATTTGCGTTTTGATGGTTACATCATATGTAGATACAGGATTTTGATTGATGAAAGTCTCATTTCCATGCCTGTTTGATTGCTAATTTAGATAACCCAATATTTTCCAGTAAACCTTCCAAGTTCCTCAAAATCTTGGTGCAATAGATCTTCATACAATAGACCAATTATATGTTATCACGTATAAATCAGGAAAGCATGAAAAACAAATCTAACATGAAAATTGAAATTCATCGTAGGTCCTTGTGAGAAGCAAGTTGCGGCCCTTGAAGTACAAGACCAGAATGTCAAAGATGAGAAGGACGAGCATTCTGCCAACTTGTGGGGAAAAGGTTGTGAAGTCAAGGAGGAAGTCCATGGAAGGAACTTGTTGGTCTTTTATAAGTTGTTCAGGAACTTCTGCCCAGATAAGAGAATTTAAGTCATTTTCATAGCAAAGCAACATTTAACTCCACACCTACAATCCCCCAATTCTCCTTATTGATTGTAGATACTAAAAACAGTTTGCAAGTCTTTCAGGACCTGTTTGTTATTTAACAGAAAACAGAAGGGGTACCATAAGATCAGCGAGCCATAAGAATTCTTCATGTATATGATACAGTCCAATTCATAGGAGCTAAGGTGGGAAGGTGATCAAAGAAGAATGCTGACATGCCATTCTAATTAGGAGGTTGCTAGAGTTTGTTAAAGGTTGTTAGCTTGTTAAGCAAGCTACTAAGCCAGATTAATAGTTTAGAAGAGACAGTTCCCTGTAATTGTAATTCATCGATTGAATGAATATTGAACTTGTCTTCTCTCTCTGTCTCATCTTTTCTCCTACTCTCTGTTTCCTTTTTCTGTTTTCTTCTTAAATCTTAATGTAGTTCTTTTCTTCTAGTCAATTTCTAGTTTGGCTGCTAATATATTTGCCGTATCATAGAAGAAAATGGACTCATAACATTGACGTGGGAGTTTGTTTTTGAACCTTATAATGAGTTTGCTTTTTGTCATATTGTAAAATATTTACCATTTGTTCTGATTATATATAATTGTCTTTTGATTAAAAAATAATAATAATAATAATAAATTAACTCAATAAATTGTAATTTAATTGATAGAGATATTTATTATTTATTTTATTAATTAAAATTTAATTCTTTAAAAGATTAATAAAAATAACTTTTCTTTTCTTTTTTTTTTCTTTTTTTTTTTGCATATGCGCTTTTAGGTCTACTGTCATTAATCAGCTTGCTAGGTGTGTTCTCCCTTCCCTGGGCGGGTTTCAAACCCGCCTCGGGTCAAAATGTTCAGAAAAAAAAAAAGAACTTTTTTTTATCAATTTTTTAATTTAGATATAATTAAAGAATTAATTTTAATATACATGTAAATTATTCTAGGGAAGTCATGAAAGAAAAAAAAATTTTGCTTTGGCAAATGACTGGAAATTTCCGAACCGACCCCGACCGAACTGGTCAACCCGGCCAGCCAACCAACCAGCGTAAGGTGGTCATAATAAGCCCAACGGCGAAAAAGCCATCACCGCCCCTCCTTCCTTCTTCTTCCGTAACCCTAACCCTGTGATTCCGCCATGGCAAACCACGGCTCCGACAGGGAAACGGACTCCAATACTCGGCTGTACAACCCATACCACGACCTTAACATCCAGGTCCCCGTCAACACCCTCTACAAGCTTCCCACTTCCCCAGAATTTCTCTTCTCCGAAGAATCCATCCACCAGCGCCGTTCCTGGGGTGAAAACCTCACATTCTACACCGGCACAGCTTATTTAGCTGGTTCTGTCTCCGGTGCAGCTGTTGGAATCTTCTCGGCTGTCAGGAACTTCGAACAAGGTGACACCTTGAAGCTGAAAATCAATAGGATCTTGAATAGTTCGGGTCATTCGGGGAGATCGTGGGGGAACCGGGTTGGTATTGTGGGTTTGATCTACGCGGGGATGGAGAGTGGGATTGTGGCGGCAACGGACCGTGATGATGTCTGGAGCAGTGTGGCGGCGGGGCTTGGTACAGGTGCGATTTGTCGGGCTGCAAGAGGGGTGAGATCTGCGGCGGTTGCTGGAGCGCTTGGAGGATTGGCTGCTGGTGCTGCTGTCGCGGGGAAGCAGGCCTTGAAGAGATACGTACCCATATGAAAGAGTTCAAAATTTCCCAGTAAGCTGATTTTTCTTCAAAAGTTTTGGAGGTTACAAATTCAATGGGATTTGATAGTTTTTTAGAGATTTAACTTATGATATGAATGTAATATTTGCAATTATATATTCTGAGACGGATTAATAATGGTACTGGATTGATGATTTTGACCATTTTGGTATATATGGATCGGCATTCGATCAAAAACTTTACGTTGTCTTGTTATTCTATTGTTATATCTGCATTTGTTGGTTATGTGAACAGTTGAAATTTTGAATGGTTCTGTAATTAGACTGCTGGTTTTGTCCATTAAATCATTGTGCAGCTTATGAGCATTTGCATCATGATGATAGAGAAGAAATTTCTTGGCCAGATTTGAAACTATAATTTTCATTACGTTTGTGATTGTGCTTCTGTGTCCATTTTTGTGCTTTGCTGAAGTTTTGCTTCTTGCCGTTTTAATTGTCTGTTGATTGATACTCTTGGTTATTCTGCATGTTTCCGGGATGTTTGATTCAAAGAAAAAAAAGGCTAGGACTGAGGAGAGTAAAAGATGTCCTTCCATTATTTCTGTTAGGTTTCATGTGTTTGTTGATTACTGTGTATGGGTGTGTGATATGCAAATAGACATGGACACTAGCATTTCCTTGTAAGCTGTGAAACTCTGTCCAAGGCTTATTAGAAAGATGACTATATTCTGATAATTCCTGGCTGTGATAAGTTTAGATTACTGCATGATTGGAAGGGGATATGTGAGGGTAGGAATCCAGGGTTGAGGTTTTATGTACCTTTCCTTCTCACTACCTCAATCCTGCATTCTTGCTACATTCTAGCACCAAGTTTACAACATGATTGGTAGGGGATATGTGAGGACAGTAATCCAAGGTTGAGGTTTCATGCTCCCCTTTTTTTTGGCAGGTTGGTTATGAGAGTTGAATTGAGATTTTCAAACTGAGGAACCAAAATCTATTCCTCTTTTCTTTTGTTTTTCTTTTTCCTTGTTACTTAAGATAGAATGTGTTTTCATCATTTCATGAACTATGTAAATTATGACTGCAATTTGAATTTCATGGATCACTTTTTTACTT